CAACTTTAAACTTACAATATGCTAAAGCATACTTAGCCATCCCATGCATATTATACGCATATCATAAATTTAATAATCAACCTATCAAGATATACCAAATACGAATGATAATATTAACCACCTTAAATGATATATATATATATATATATATATATATATATATATATATATATATACACACACACACACACACACACTTGCTTCCATAACTAATACATTAATTAATTATAATTACACTAATTAAATTCAACTAATTATCGTAGCAGCATCCTACAATCCTCAAACACCTAAAATACATACTCTAATAATTAATTCCAACATTTATAAACTTGAAATCAATTCTGGAACATCACAGGGCTCCACAGCAACTTTTTGGAACCCCAAACACGTCCACACGCGCCCCCAAATGTTCCTACACATGCTGCACGCGCTTCCACGCGCAACCCCAAACAACTACGCGCCCTCACGCGCTGCACACGCGCCTGATACTCTTTTTGGCTGATGTGGCATGCTGCCATTCGCTGGATGCATGCTTGTCCTTGTACACGCGTCACACAGGATCGTCTCACTGCATCTCTATATGCCTCCATGCACTAGCGCCTCATCACATCAACTCTCCCTTCAATCAGCCACATCTAAGGTTCAATTTTGTGACACATTGAACCTCCATGCACACGCATCACACGGAATCAATCTAGTTAACTTTAAATAATCCAATGACCAAGATTAGCTTGTATACCAAATTCTTATGCACTCATCCACACTGGATTTCTCGCCCCTTGATGCGCCGATGCCCAGTCGTGCACATATATATAAACAGTATATATTTTCATATAATTTTTTTTAACAATTATAAGAAAATAAAATATAATAATTTCCTAAAAATATAGAACAATGCAAAAAAAATATCTAGAAAAGTCCAAAAATTACAAAAAAATTCCAGAAACTCTAAAAACCCTAATTAATCATATTGGGTCCAAGATCAACCTATAGATTTATTTTAAAATAGATACAACACATATATGTATAAATTAAAACCCAAAATTCCAAAAGAATTAAAAACATAAAATTTCATACTTTTAATTCTTCAGATCTAACTATGATTTAATTAATAAATTTATTTAAAGTCTTGATATTCAAGGTAAAATATTTATGAGTTCTAAGAGGAAATATATAGAAAAACTCGCCTGAAGGTTTCGAAATAAAACCGACGCTTCAAGCTTGACTGTCTATTCCAATCCCAACATTCTCTTTTTCAGATCCGACCTCTTCCTTGTCCGCCCTTCTTCTTCTCTCTCTAACTCTCTTATTTTTCTAACGTGTAAATTTTTTAACAATCAAACCTTATGTGTATATTTATATACATTAATTACCCTAATCTTATTCCTACTAGGATTACTAACTAAAAATAATAATAATTATCTTTTAAATAATAAAACATATATAAACATATATTATATTACCTACGTGTGTGTGTGTGTGTATATATATATATATATATATATATATCTCTTCCATAATTAACTATTGGTTAATTAAATCATATATCCTATATATATCCATAAATATATATCTATATATATATCCTTTTATAACACTAACTAATTAATTATATATAAATATAATTAAATATATAGTTATTACTATACAAAAATTATTATTTTAAATCACAAAACCATGGGCTTTATTAATTAACCCAATAAAGCTTCATTCAAGCCCAAGACCATATCATTTGGTCCAATTTCCCTTAAGCCCAATCCAATTAATTTAAATAAATAAAATAATTAAATAAACACTTAAATTAAAATAACTAACTACATGAAACATATACACAAACAAGAATGTACAACTAAGTCACATCATATCAACACGCCAATAATTCCATCAATAATTAAGTATACAAACAATCAATCATCATACCAATAATTCACGAAATATAAATAAATAAAACAATTAAACTAAGCATTCAATAAAACAAATCAAATAAAAAAATAAAATAAAATAAACACAATTAATTCAAATTAAATCAAATAAATTATTTAAAATAAAATAAAAGTAATTAATTTCAATTAATAATTCATTTAAAATATCGGGTATTACATGCACTACAACCTTTTATATCCACCACAGTTCCTAGTGATTTTCTACCTCTACTGTGCTCTATACCCGCTGATAATGAAATTCAAGCTTGCTTCATGTCCCTCAGTAAGGAGAAATCCCTTGGCCCTGATGGATTCAATGTTCATTTTTCCCAAATGGCTTGGCCTGTGGTAGGAAGGGATGTGATTTCTGCCATTAGAACTTTTTTTTTTTTTTTACGAGAAGGCTGCTTAAGGAAGTAAACAACACCTAAATTGCTCTGGTCCCTAAAAACTCCAACCCTACCACAAAACATGATTTTAAACCTATTTCATGTTATAATACCCTTTACAAATGTATTACCAAGCTCCTCGCAAATAAATTGAAACAAGTCCTGCCTGCTATCATTGGTCCTTCTCAAAATGCATTTGTCAAAGGCAGACATATTGGGGACAGTGTTCTTTTGGCTCATGAACTGCTACAGGGTTATCAGAGACATCTCTCTCCATCAAGATGTGCTATGAAGGTTGATCTTATGAAAGCCTTTGATTCAGTTGGCTCGGAGTTTCTTTTGGACACTCTATTTTTGTTTGGGTTTCCTCAGCAATTCATCCAGTGGATAAGGGCCTGTATCACATGCCCTTCCTTCACTATTTCTCTAAATGGTGAATTCAAAGGGCACTTTCAGGGGGTCAAGGGGCTCAGGCAGGGAGACCCCATTTCATCACTCCTCTTTGTGATTGCTATGGAAGTCTTCTCTTTTATCACCAAAAACTTTATTGCCAATAGCCCCTCATTCAAATATCACTCAAGATGTAGGAGTTTAGGCATCTCCCACCTCATTTTTGCTGACGACCTCCTACTATTTTCCTATGGGGACCTTGCATCTGTTTCTACTCTAAAAAGGGCCATTGATCATTTCAAAACTCTCTCGGGACTTTGCATTAATAGCTCAAAGAGTAAATTCTTCTTCTTTAGAGTGGACAGCTCACTCACAGCTGGGTTTGAAAGCTTGCTTGGCTTTAAATGTGGATCACTACTTATCATGTATTTGGGGGTGCCACTTGTAACCACTAGGCTCAAAGCTGCAGACTACAGAGGGCTCGTTGAAAGAATCACTCACAGAATCAATCACTGGTCTTCCTCCTTCCTATCCTATGCAGGTAGAGTACAATTGATCCAATCAGTGCTATATAGCATGGTCAATTACTGGTCGAGTATTTTTTTACTTCTTAAATCAATTATTGTTGAGATTAATCAACTGATGAAGAATTTCCTATGGACGGGGACTGGGGATAAACACTCTAGGGCTAAAGTGGCTTGGTATAGGGTTTGTCAGCCTAAAGAATGCAGAGGCCTTGGGTTTAGAAATCTGGAAAATGCGAATGTGGCAGCCTCCCTAAGACAAATTTGGACCATACTCTCAAATAGAAAAGACAATCTTTGGGCATCATGGGTTAACACTCAGCTGGTTAGAGGGAGATGCTTTTGGACTATTGGTATCACACAGACTTGCTCCAGTAATTGGAAGAAAATACTACAGCTTAGAGGTCTTGGAAGAACCATGCTTCGATGAAGGGTTGGTAATGGGGAGAAGACTTTCTTTTGGGAGGACAATTGGCTGGACGGAGGGCCTCTATCCTTGAGGGTTGCTAATGGGTTCATTGATGACTCGCCAATCTCTTCACATCAGAGGCTTGCAACACTCACCGTGAATGGTGCCTGGGCTTTCCCTGAGGTTCTGGTTGACATGTTTCCGGACCTTGCCCGTATTGATCCGCCATCCACTTCCAATGATTCAGCTGTTTGGACGCCATCACCTACAGGTTCTTTCTCACTTGGCCACACAATTGGCTGGATCGACACGCTCTATTCCCCAAAGCAATGGCACCACCTGATATGGAATCCTCTTTCTATCCCGAGATGCAAAATCACACTGTGGATGGCTGTGCAAGGAAGGCTCTCCACTTTGGACCGAAGTAGACTGAGGAATGTTAACGGATTGAGAGTTTGCCTCCTCTGTAACGTGGTCAACGAATCCTGTGATCATATCTTCTTTGCTTGCACATACACAAGACCAATCTGGATCCATCTCCAAAGCATAGCCAGATTCCATGCTCCACCCTCATCATGGTCCGATTTCATCCTTTGGGCCTCCCATCGCTGGGCAAGAAGGGATCTGAGAAATTCGGTGAGGAAGCTCATGCTCTCCACCACCGTCAATAAAATCTGGATGGAGCGAAACAATAGAGTATTCACCAATCAAAGAAACTCACAGATGGTGGTCTTAAAACAAATCACAAACATAGTTAGACAAAAATTACTTTCAACCACCATCAAGGACTCACATTTTGCAAGAAAAATGGTGCTGTATTGGGAACTACCAGCGTCGATCCTGAGACCACCGGCGGAACCACCAGACGGAGCAGCTTAGGCCTATGGCTTCTGATAGCCCTTGATCATACACCGGATTGATTGCAAGCTTTGACAGCGATAGTCTCCGATTTGCCCTAGACTAAACGCTGTCATCGCATCTGTGTTGGGCTAACCCTAGTGATAGGCTTTTGTTTGTTATTTTGTTGATAATTTTGTTGGGCCTGTCCATTAATCATTGGGCCGGTCTTTTTTCTGGTATCTTTTTGTAAAGTTTTACCATTTATACAATACTTACTTACCTTCCCAAAAAAAAAAAAAAATAAATAAAATAAAATATGAATCCGAAAAATTTTTACTTAGATATTGAATGCTTGGGATTTTGAAAAATTCTTTATTTTTGGAATGGGATTTATGAGTTGACTCGGGTGAATCGGCACTCAACTCTAACCACTCAGGCAAGTGAAAGCACCTGCTAAATCAGTCCTAATCGTTCTAGACCCTTCTAAATATTTTATTTTCCCAATTTGTGTTAGGGCTTCAAAATTCTAGACCCTTCCTACTTGGAACCCTCCAGAGTTCGGATCACCTCTTGCCCTAAATTTCTCACATAATTACCAACTCTCCCTCTCTACAGGGTTGCTCATCACCACATACTCTCTCTCTCTCTCTCTCTCTCTGTCTCTGCTTTTTGTCTTTACAATGGCGAAATACGGAGAAGGCGATAAGCGGTGGATCGTGGAGGACAGGCCAGACGGAGCGAACGTCCACAATTGGCACTGGGCCGAGACTGATTGCATCGACTGGTCTCGGAACCTTCTCACGAAGCTTCTCTCCGACCACACAATACTCGACGGCGAGGGCAATCTCTACATCAAGACCAAGAAGGTAGATAAGGTCGATGGGGAGGCTTATGTCAACGTCCGCAAGGGCAAGATCATACCCGGGTACGAGATCAGCGTCACCATCTCTTGGGAAGGCGAAGTCAAAGATTCAGATGGCAAAACCTTGCTACTCGCCGACGGAATCGTAGAAATTCCGTATATTGCCGACGAGAACGCCGACGAGGACCCCGATATCAGGGTCGTTGTGAAGGACGAGGGCCCAATTGGGAAAAGATTGAAAGATGCCTTCCTTGCGAAGGGAAAGCCCTTTGTTTTGGAGCAAGTTAGGGTTTATGTCAGTGCGATGGCGAAGGGTGGGCCGGCGAAGGAGGAGTTGGAGGTGAAAAAGCCGGTGGCAGCGGCCGAGAAGAAGGCTGCGCCGGTGGTGGCGACCACGGCCGCACAGGGGGTAAAGAAAGAGGAGGTGAAGAAGAAGAAGAAGAATAAAGAGGGGTTTAAGACAATAACGTTGACGGAAAAGTTTAGTTGTAGAGCGGTAAATTTATATGAGATATTGATGGATGAGAATAGATGGAAGGGTTTTACGCAGAGTAATGCAAAGATAAGTAAGGAGGTTGGTGGGGAGATTAGTATATTCGATGGGTCGGTGACGGGGACGAATGTGGAATTGCAGGAGGGGAAGTTGATTGTGCAGAAGTGGAGGTTTGGGAGTTGGCCTGATGGCATTCAATCATTGGTGAGCTACTTGCTTTTACCTTCATGTTTGTATGTGTGTCTGTGCCAGGTTTGGTGAATTTATGTGTGTTTATATGAAAAAGCACAATTTTATTCTTTTTATTGCTTGATAAGATATTGTTGAGAACTAGATGATCTTGAATTTTATTATTGCATAACCTACTTGGTATATATATTCATGTAGAAGTTGTGTATATAAGGTATACATGTGTGCACATATGTTTAGATACCATTGCAATTTTCTGTTGTGATATGATTAAATAGTAACCAAACTGAGACACTCACTACTGTATTCTATCACACTTGCGTGTATATGTATATATAAATTTTCATGCCTGTATTGATTTTGTGTATATATTGCCAAAAACATGTAAATGTATATGGAATTGATCACAAGTAGGGGTTGGTTTGAGATTTGATGGGGATTAGTTGACCATGAATTTCAGTCTTTCATTCATTAGTGCAAATATTTATATATTTACACACAAAAGCATTCATGCTATGTTTGGGAGCACCGAATCGGCAGCTTGGATTTGGGATTGGAGAAAATTTATTCCAAAGCACCCATTTGGTGCTCCCAACGCAACATCAGTACTTTTGAGTACTTTTCTACTAGGTACTATTGTTCTACTAGTTATAAAAGTTTATTGACGATTGACTAGTTCACTAGTGAAGTTTGAATATTGATGTCTTAGGTGCGGCTTACATTTGAGGAGCCTGAACCTGGGGTTACAATTGTGAAACTGACACAGACTGATGTTCCAGAGGAAGACAGGTTGGTATCAGTTGATGGATTATTATAAATTTTGAATTTGATTGCTGTTATTGAGGTCTTAAGGTTGATATCTGATAATGCAGATATGGGAATTCAACTGTGGTGGAGAATACTGAGAGGGGATGGCGAGATCTTATTTTCAACAAGATACGTGCAGTTTTTGGTTTTGGAATATGAGCTTTTCCGGTTAAAGTCTTGCCAAAGTGTAGAATATTCATAATTTCATGTTTCATCCAGATTTTAGTTTTGGATTGAACGTGGCAATTTACTGAATGGAATGTTGTGGTTGTCATCGTCCTACTAGTCCATGTGGTTGAAGTCTGTAGTAGAGTGATTCTCCTTTTCTTATATCTCTTAATGACCACTTTTATTGTTGAACTAATAACTGCTTGATGGTAATGACCTAGATGTGTGTCTTACAAATCAATACACACATGGATTTGATCTGTGTGCGATTGTTATTATGTTCTTGTCTGGATTTGATCTGCGTGCCATTCTTATTATGTCCTTGTCTGGATTTGATCTGCGTGCCATTCTTATTATGTTGTTACCATAGATGGGCATTATACGTATTTGTTGTTGATTTGACTTTATGGCTCATTGCGTCCTTGTCTGGATTTGATCTGCGTGCCATTGTTATTATGTTGTTGCCATAGATGGGCATTACACGTATTTGTTGTTGATTTGACTCTATGGCTCATTGCTGCAAACATGTTCATGCTCGTATATTTTTATCATTGGTATCATAAGTGATCTCTATTCTTTTGTAGTATTAGTTATTAATGCAATAATTTTAGTTTAGCCAGTTATTTTCAGTACCATTCTTAACAAACTATATTTTTTTTCCCATTTGCTTAACAATCTATATTTATAGAAGATACATCAATAGTATGATGGAGAATTCAGTAGTAACAGGTCATGACCATGTAATATTAAATTTAAAAACCTTCAATTTGACAAATTACATATTCTAATTGTAGGCACTACCCTTTTTAGATGCTGTTTTCTTGTCCATTTCATATTGGTCACATTTCTTGGGTGAACCACTGTTTCATGGTTGTGGTTTTGAGAATAGGGTTTTGTTGCGTATCTGGAATTTGAGGAATAATCGAAGCATGAAGGTTTAAACTTTAAAGGAGGTTGATCCAGAAGCTGTATAATGAAATTGAAATGTGACTTCTGGTAGAAGGGGTCTGTATAAGCATCTATTGGTGGATGGACGTATAGAGTAAATTACAATTTGGTTGTAGATTGATCCATTAAAATTTCTGAGAAGTTACTCTTCTCTCCTTGGGTATCTTTTGGGAAAACTCTGGTTGGGAAGGCTCTTCCTGTTGGAGTATGTTGTCAATTTATACTAGTATGTGGCTTGGATGGTCAGTGTTAGGATTTGAATAGGCAGTCATGAGATTCCTACCAATTAATTTCACATTTTTTGCGTAAGGAATCTTGCTTGCTTTTGCTTGCACGTTGATGGTGTTCAGTTTGTATAGAACCATAGGTTGTTATAGTGGCGTTCTGTATCAAGTTTTCCCTATTTGAATTAAACATTAACTGGAAGTCAAATTTAACTGAAATTTTGGCACTTAGTTCTTTTTCGAACAAGGAAAATTCATATACTTTATTTACTGCAATTGGTATTTTCTCCTTTTGAACTTTATTTCTATTTCCACCAATGAAAATTGATTTACTTTAATTGGTATTTAACTTGTTGAAGATATAAATCAGATAGCTAAAGGAGTTCGAGTTTGTATACTGGAAAAGCTCATAGATGAGCCAGAGAAAAAAAATTCAGTCTATTCTGCAAGTTTCCCTAGACGAAAGTAAAAAAAGATTGAAAGGTTGTGTCATTTTATAGATACTATTGACTTAATTTGTTTTGTCAGAGTAGTTGGGTAGGATGGTAGATTGCGATAAGATTTCATGGACGAGTTCCAATAATGCAACAAGGTCTGCTCAGCGTTGGAAATTGTTTAATGTTTACTCTCATAAAATCATTTAATTTCCTTAATCATTTAGATAAAGTTCGCAAGTCTGGGTATATGAAATATTCTTACCAGTGCTATTTAACTGATTAGAAATGCAGTCTGGTGGTATTGGCTTTTGGAATTTGGAAATTCTTTGGTTGCGTAAAACTCCATAACAGTGAGGCTTAAGGCCTCCCACTTTTGTTTTGAGAGGTCTGTTAAGAGGCATTGGTGAGATCAGGCTCTTGGAGATATTAGGATACTTTCCCGTCTTTTAAGCAAAATATAGAAAACAGATATTTCTTTGCGACCCTATTCTCTTGGTTTTCACATGTACAGTCTGTAGTTTACACGGGTCTTAGTTTTATGCCCATATGTCAGCTGCATGTTTCGCAATTTCTCTCTGGTCCAATCTAGGGCTGTGTTTTGATCCAGATGTAATGGTGAAGAGTATTATCTGATCATACGCGGGCAGACTCTGATCGGAAATGCTTCTACATGGACAATAACACAACTGTAGACTGTAGATTGTTTGGCTTTATATTTCAAATGGTAATTTAGCAGTTGTTTCATTGCTTGCCTTGGGAGAACTGTTTACATGAATTTTGTTTTCATTCTTGTCATTCTAGGGCAGTTTATTTCTTCTATGTTTTGTGCATGTATGATTATGTTTTGTCATGTGAAATTGAAGCTTGTAGTTTTATTCATTCGCATCAGAGTCCTTTTTCTATATTTACCCTTTGTTTTGTTGGTATTTCCGCGCTTAGTGTCTCTGATAATATCTTTTGAGCTCTGCAATTACACAGGGCCCACCAAAATTTGCCATATTGTTTTTGGTAGGTATTCTGTGGGATTGGGATTGGCTAGAAATCTGTGTCTAGCCTTTTTGTTACAATTCATGTCATGGAAATTGGCCTTGTTTGAAGTCTACTCAAAGTCTCAAACAATTAGTTACCTGGCTTGAACGATAGATATTGCAGGGTTACAATTGTCCTCATCCCTCGCATGATCTTTGGACGTATATGCAAAGTGAAGCTCCACAATAGTTATCTTAACCATTCACTTTAGATTTTTGTCAAAGGCTTCTGTCGAAAAGATTTATTAGACATTGGATCCCTGTTTATGCCATTAGATTGTTCAGTAGGGTTCGAATACTTTGGATCAACTGGAGATGTGATCTGCTGCATTGATCTTTATGTAATATACATGAATGGTTTTAGGCTGTTGGTTGGATGCATGTGTAATGAGCTATTTAAATGTCGAATTAATTCAAAGATGATGAGTTCCTTGGTAGTTGCATTTCTAGGGTAGGGAATTTTCTTTCTTTTAATCCTCTATTTCATTCATTCATTTGCTTTTATACTTGGTATGGGGCAGAGATAAAGCAGGTTTGATGATAGATTTTAGGATGGAAGCTTTTGTGGATCATATGCTTTAAAAAAGACGAGATAAAGCAGGTTCGATGATAGATTTTAGGCCAGAATGTGGATCTCACATATGGGAGTGGCCCAGTTTTAACATTTCTGATCCGGCGAAATTGGAATAGCTCTTTTAGTCCACTATAACAACCCGGCCAGAATAAAAAATTGGGACTGGCACAAAGGTAGACATTTCTCACCCTGCCTACTTGGTGGAGTAGTTCTTTTGTTTTTTTGTTACTCTTAAGCCATCGGTGGTAGTATTAACATTTATTTCTCATTTAGTATTGAAAAAGATAACAAAATGGCAGATTTTGTGATAATGTTGTACTTTCGGCAAATTGCAATACATGGACCACGCAACAAACCACAGATATATAGCAAGTATGGCCGTTTTCATGAACAAAATTAACATTAATGGGTTGTCATCTAGTCTAGAAATGGCGACAGGGACGAGGGAATTTCTTTTTCATACATTTTCTCTAAAAATAAATAAATATTGAACTAGTCTAAAAATAAATTAAAAAAAAAAAACAACAACATTATATAAGACAAGAAAATCCTGAATGAATGAATGAGTTTTGTTTATGATACATGGTTAGGGATGGAGTATTTTTTTATCCAAGTAAATAATCTGTAGAGTTGTCTAATGTATTATTGGATTTTGGCATGGTAGAGTAGTCATTCATTTAACAATACATATGCATAAAGAGAGAGAGAGACATATAGGTGATATTTAATTCATATAGCATCTTGATAAATTTAGCACGTCTTAAGTGTGCTAATGTAAGCACAATTTAGTTTGAGTAAAAGGAGAAAGTAGTGAAACCAGACTAAGAAAGCCGTATGGTATTTAAAAAAAAGTGATGGAGCTTCCATTATATATACCAATTATCTTGCTCTTCTTTATCAACCATTAATCCTTCGACTCCCAAGTAGAAGAAACCTTCTTTCGTCTGAAGCGTCCATGGGTGTTTAAAGTTCTGTGATGCTCGCACAAAGAGTAACCCACAACACTGGGTTGGCAACACCTCCATCCTCTTCCATTCGTTCGTATGCACCTTGAACTCGAACCGCCTTCTTCTACTACTAGTATCTTCTCATCACCTCCTTCACTGCTCTTCTTTGCTGCACTATCCACCGCATCATCACCCCATTTCTTCACAATCTTTCTAATTTCCTCCCTCTCCATTACCATTTCCTCACTTTTTAAGCTTCCTCTTCTCTTCTTTATTGGGATAACTTTGTTTTCTTCACACCACTCTTCTATTACTATATATATACATATATATCACCAAATGTTAATTACCGAAATCAACCATTCATATATGTAATAAGAACTAAAAAAGCAATTAACCCCACTCATCATTTGCTGGACAGCAAACATATAAGTCTATATGCACAAATATACAAATAAATGTGTATATACACTCCTTTTTTTGATTGGTTGTATGTATACAGTCCTCCCGGTAAATTAAGTGTAGTGCTGCTGAGTGTAGCACGTGCGTACCTTGGTTAGAAAAAGACGAAGAAATGGAGCTACCAGCTGAAGTTTCCACGTTCTGGTGCTGATCCGTTCTGCATCAACAACAACACGTAAAATGCGCCATTGCAGCTATATATATATATACACACACACGCACATAAACACGCGAGAAAAGCGTCTTAATGCTATCATACGCCCCCTTGCAGGCTAATGTGCGCCTGGTGATGGACTAGGAGTGACGCTAGGACGATTAGATAGATGATGGTGGTGCTTAACACTACCTCTGATCACTTGTGATAAGTTTCTTCTCGTTGTCTTCCCAGCAGCCTATTGATGGGTTCTGCAACACAGTTACGCATTTAAAAGGTACGATTAATAATCGTAGCAACAAGTAACCAGGAGGAGTAAAACTGGGGAACACACTGCTAATGTGCGCCTGAATTGGTGTGCAGGTTTTACATTTTGGGCTCTAGAGCTCATAAAATCCAGCTTCTAATACTACTATATTTATATACAAAGGCAAAAATTTATATAAAGAATATTAAGGAGAGATGTAGTGGTGTGTGTTTGGTGGTTATGTGAAGCTGGTTAGAGAGAAATAATATAGGGAATCAAACAACACACACATTAGATATACCTGATTGAGATGCATTGAATAAGAAGTGGCCCTGCTGGTGTTGTGGTTTTGTTTGAAAGAGGTGGGGAGGAGAGATTGAATTGGTGGAGCAGTGAGGGTTATGTTGTAGTGATCAGAAACTGATGAAGATTGAAGATCTGGTGGTGGTGGTGGTGGTGGTGGAGGCCATCGTTTTCGGATCCTCATATTGATGGATTGATTATCAGCGTCCCTTGCCCTAATTGCTTGTGGAAAGACTTGAAAGAAACCAAGTAATCAGTATGCCTAAATTGCTTCTATATGGCCGATCTCTCTCTCTCTCTCAAATTAGCCGAAGAAGGAAGTACGGAAGATAACAGCACAGGCCAGGGTACTGGGAAAAAGTAGGAAAAGGACTGATAGCTGTTTGTGGGCAGAGAGTGGTGGTAACATTACTTACTGCGATGCCGTTACTCTTTTGGGTGGCGACGGGAGTGGGGTCCACTCAGCACAACGACATGCACGTTGTGCACCCTGAATTCCCCCATGTATCACATCAAATCCAAATAAGAGTTGAATAATATATACGTTTGGACTTCCTATGTGATAGTTATGGAATTATAGGAGCATCGGATGGACAATCTCTACCATTTCAATCCCAAGTCCATATTATTGGGTTTGGTTGTGGTCCTGTTTTTCCAGCAATGAAGCGATGGACCAAATTCGAGATTTCACAACTGGGCCATTCTTCTATCCATTCCCGGAGCTGTTTACTGGCTCCCTCTCTGGGCCTTAGTCCTGTATCTCTCATGATGTATTCTTTTGGGCTCTTATCTTGTCCAGTGTTCGGGAGGCATCTCCCTTGGGCGTCCTTCAAATTGTCTGAATTGTAGTGCAACTATAGTGTTTTTTGTAGGGAAATTATTTTATGGTTATTATTGGTATCAGCTTTAGAGTAAATCCTGCAGTTATGTTATCTTTTTCACTCTGTTTTTTATGTGTACATGTCTGTAAAATAATGCGTGACAAATGTCACTTCACTTTCTTGATTCTACTGCTATATATAAATATTAGGGTTAAGTGCATTAAACTCCCCTCAACTTTCTTCTCTTTCCCAATAAATCCCCCTGAACTAAGTGAAGTACACTTAACTCCCTAAACTATTTCAATTGTTGCAAAACATTAGTGGGCCGTTTAAAAACTAACGTCCAAAGAAGACACATGACTCACGTGACTAGGTTAAAATCAATAAAGACAAAAATAACCTTGAATGTGTAAAGTTCGCTTATACACCAATGTATCGTCAACAAAGACTAAAAGGAATAACATATACAGATACACAAATATATATATATATATATATATATATATATATATATATATATATATATATCCCTCCTTTCTCTTCAAACAACCTACAGCATCTGTCCATGGCCATCACCTCCACCGTCCGCCCATGGCCACCATCGACGTCGCCACGGTTCTCTCCCCTACTGAATATTTTTCCCTCACAACCACTTCACCATCCACAGCCGCCAACACAACCGCTCTCTTCCCAATCCACCTCCCTCTCTTTGGCCTCCAACTCCGGCAACAACAAGAACTTCAATACCGGTGAGAAGTGGGTTTGTTCTGCAACGGTAGTGACGGAGGTGCTCGGCGATGGCGAGCTTACCGGAGAACACAATGACTATTCGCGATGGTGGCGCTGAACTACATGGGCAGACGGTAGTGAGTTGAACTGAAATGGCGGCGGCGAGCGAGGATGAACCCACGGGACGGCGACGATTGTTCTTAACGATGGTCGCGGATCAGAACGGTGGCGGTAACGACTGTAGGAGTCGCGAAGCTTCAATGAATTACGGCAATGGTGGCGATGAATTTGTAAGATGCCGGTGAGCTTACCGATGAGCAATGGAACTGAACTGGATATGGAGATTTGAGATCGAGTCACCTGAATATGGATATTTGAGAGCAAATGAGAAGGATTTGCTGAAAATCAATGGCGAATGAGAGGATGCTGAGACTGAAAATTAGGGCTTCAAATTTGGGGGTTCTTGGGATATGATGAATATATATATATCCAAACTCAAGACCAAGTCCTCGTTTGCAATTTCTTGGGTTCGTTCTCAGCATATGATGCTCTCAATTGTGAAAATGATTTCTTTCTTCAGGCCAATTATGGATGTATGAGATTTTGATAGCAAAGACTACGAGAATGGTCTGGTTTTGAATGGTGCTTGGACTATAAATAATAATTTATCTTCCCTGCTTTAAGAGTTTTATATCTGGGAAATGATTGTTCTTAGCATATTTCCAAGGTGCTATATAATAAACAATTTGCAGTGATTACTAATGCTCTTTGAACCGTGAATTCAGATTAATTCCGTCGAAAAAAGGTCAACCGTCTATGTTTGGCGATCTTCGACCATAACAAATAACATATTTAAATGGAGAGAGACATGCATCAAATCCGATCAATCCCAATATACAACCTATTTAAATTGGAACCCATTTTGATATTTTTATGTTATTACTTCACAATTTCCTCTCATCTCCTTCAATTTCTTGTTGGCCCCAAGAAATATTATTGACAAGATGGACACAGAGATGAGGGTGGTGGTGGCTGCCGATAGAGAAGAATTACAATTTATATATATATATAATTCTCCACTAATTGAGTTGTCATTCTCTTATTGGTGGAGAATTGTTTTTGTCCACTTCAATAAAATAATTTTGAGTTGGCCAATTTTCATTGGACATAGAGATTATAATTGTTACATCAGCCTATCCAAAAATAATAATACTAATAATTTTTTTAAAAAAAAAATAATTCAACACGAAGGGCTAAATGGTAATTTTTATTTTCTATTAACGGCTCCTTGACGGAGTGCAACAAAATGATAGTTTAGGGAGTTTTACTTATTTCAAGGGGGTTTCTTACAATTGAGTTATAGTTGAGGAGGGTTTAATGCACTTAACCCTAAATATTATTTACCCAAGAAGCAGAAGAAAAAACAAAAGACACAAGAAAAAGAGAAAACAACTATATTGGAATAGGATCATTGCAACCAAACATTCCAATAGTATGTGATTGAAAAATTTGTCTTTTGTTTACAGCTAAACAACTTTTATATGAGGCAATTAATGGGACACAAGGACTTCTTCTGTTCCCTTCAATTTTATTTGTTAATATTTTTTATTTATGCTTAAATTTTTATCATTTTAGGTCATTAGTTTTGTTGGTTACCAAGTGAATGTAGATCAAGAGAGGGTGATTTACCGTTTCTTTATTAGAGTCCACTGTTGATAATTTGGTAATGCCATATGAGTAATTAAAAGTGTGTAAGAGACTTTGGAGTTTAATTTTGGTAGATTTAGAAGTTGATGGAGTAGGTTTCATTTGTACTCTGAAAAGCAAAAGAAGAACTATAGGTGTTAGGCCCCCAATGTGTTCAATGATTGATGTTATGCACATTTCTGCAATCAATCAAGTAATAATTGTGGTCGGTTTTGGATGTGTGTGTTTGATTGACATGTGACTCATTTTTTCTTTAATGTATCTAAAGTTTGCTGCTCTATATTTAAACCAATCTGACCTTGTTTTTCTTCTTCTTTACCAACACATGGATCCTAATAGCACATAACCAAAATGTTTGGAACAATTTACTTATTTCTTGCTTGCTTACACTTGGGATGTCAAGCACCTCCAGTGGTGAAGTCCAGCTGCATGCACTGTCCATGCACTACATTGTTGCTTAATTATGTAAACTGCAACCAAGTGTTGCAGTCAAAGTAATACTTTCTCTTTCAAGCCTCTTTAAAAGGGTTTAAAAGGGCACGTGAGTTTGTGAATTTCTCGTCAGGATTTGAATAATAAAAAAAAAAGGTACCAATACAAGATAAACTGCATGTGAACTAGTTTCAACTCTTAATTCATTGTCATTTTTCTTATCCTAATTTAAGCCTATATTATATATGAATTACTAAAGGCCTAGTTTGATGGGCATTCCCCCACTTTCATTGTCGTCGTCTTCCACCACCACCATGGCATTCCACCACTTCCATCGTTATCGCCTTCCGCCACCATTGTTTAGAATTAATAATGATTATCATTTCATTCTTACGTCATTTCAAACATGCGACCAAATAATAGAATGAGAATGACCATATATTTTCATTTCTGTTCCATTTCATATATATATGCGTATCAAATTAGGTCTTAATTCATATACAAGTCCAATTAATTCATCGGAGTTGAGTAAAAATTTTGTTGGGGATACCGGATATGTAACATGCAGTTAAATAAAATGTTAGAATTGAGAACATAAAATGTTGAGAAGTTGAACAGCTTGGTGGCTCACACGACACCGAGAGTGAGTCCAAGTTCTGGCATTTCATCAATGCTGGCTTTGAAGCATTCTTCTTTTCTAAGTAACCAATAATGAAAAGATTGAAGAAATGGCAGGTTCTCCAATTATTGTTGGTAGTAAAGTAGTAATGCCATAAAATGTCAAATGCCCACCATTTTTACTCCAATAGCTATGGATTTGAGTGGTCCACTTTGAGTAAATTCATTTAAAGGGTAGTGTTCACATTCTGTACAGACTCGTACATACAGTAATAAATATACAAGTAGGTGTCTAACGTTTTTCATGCCACTTCCGTTACAGATGTATAAAAAATATTGTCAAAACCATCTAACACACAAATGCAACACCTTTCATGTGATATTTTGCTTCCCAGAGTTTCTTTCTTTTCTTTTTGTACAAATTCTGTATATGGACTCACACATCCAAAAGGGATTTATTTAATATAAACTTTATTAATATAGAAATTTAAGAAATAACCAAAACGCTTCTTTTTTAGATTTAGTAAAAATGTTAGTATTTTGTTTGTATATATGCTCCGTACTAGATTTTATCTTCATCAAGTCGAAATAAAAAAGGAAAATCATAAATAATCGTCACTTTTTACTTTGCCCATGCCTGATGATATTGGATGGCATGGCACGGAAAATCTCATCGAAGCTGATTTAGGGATATGAAATCACGAGGCAGCAGTAGATACAACTTAGTGGCCCTGTTTCCAATCCGTAGTGGATTGATGTAATGAGTCATCCAAATTGTTTCGAAAATTCCAAAAGTGGAAGATCTGTGACAATTCAAAAGAGTAGATTACAAATAAATGTTGCAAATATATATATATATATATATATATATATATATATATAATTACAAATAAATGTCATGTGATACATTTAATGCTTAGTGAATAGCAACAACAGAATGAAACTCGTCAAGTGAATGAATTAGTTATTCTGTTATAAATAAAAAGGTTAAGGGTAAAAAATATTTCTTCTATTATTGATATAGTTTAAAATAGTTTCTGTATAATGTAAAATATCTCTATAAATAGTTAAGGGTAAAATAGTTATTGGTATAAA